AAAACTTTTGCGCATATATGTACACTACTTTATCAAATTCAAATGGCAGAAACAACAGCTACATGTACGAATTTGGCAATTAAGAAAAACATTAAGACCAATTATTTTTGTGACAATTTGAAAAATGCAAATAAGGGCTGATATTTCAAGGAGACGTTGGTATTATGGTATCAAATGAAATAGTAATCTTAACCTACTTCCCCTTGTATCATGTTCATTCTGTCTTTTCTCATGGTTCTGACATACATAGGTACATTGACTCTACCATTTCTCTCCCCTTCCCGGTAGAGTGCGTCTAAAGCTATGTAAGTTCCGGTTCTACCAATCCCAGCACTGAAAGAAAAATGTTTCATTTTAATATATCATAAAGACTACTTTATTAACCTTTACTTTCATTTATTTTATAGATGATAACGTTGAACAGTATCTTTATTAAAACAAAATCAAAAGTTAGAAATTAAAATTGAAAATTAGACAAAGATACAAGATGGAAATTCCATGGCTGGGAATGAATACCTCCACCGTAAGTCCTTTGTATTGGATACATAAAGCAATGTAGCCATAGTCCCATTTCTTATAACATTGTCCAAACAATTGATATAGAACCATACGAAAGCCAGCGACACGATATTTTTTTTTTCAAATTATTATCAATGAAATTAACTTAATTTTGCAAAAAAAAAAAGCTTTTGGATTTGAAATAATCAATATCATGGAGGAGCAGTATGAAACATTTTTCCCAACAGTCTATGTTATCCACTGTGTACAAGAATGATAAAGGGAATATAGATCATCAACAGTTCATCAGCCATAACTTTTTTTTATGTTTACCAAATAATATGATATGATAATATGTATGATTTTATTATGATTCTAAAAAAAACTAATGCATTGTTATACAATTTGATTCAATCCATTTTGTTTCATTAATTTTTTACATATTGAGATGTTCATAAGTATATCCCAGTGTATATATGACTAAATCAACATATCCGGTGCTTGAACAGATAGATAGCTTAACTCTAACTACAAGTACGTATACTTAAATAAACATCGTATACTGTACAGGGGTATCACTGTGGGTAGTACAAGTATTTTTTTTATTAGTTACCTGTGGCAAATTTTGTCATATTTGCTAAAAATAAATATCTGATGAAGGATATGCTTAGCAAGGCTAATGCTTATTTCAACGAAATGGGATTAGATCTCTCCTATTCACAATTGTGGCTTTGCAAGCAAAATTAGTCGGATGTTTTTCTATATCATTTAAGCTTTCTGAATGGATGCTTTTTATATCTGTATATACCGTACCTTAATCTGATATTAAAGGCAAACATAAGCAAGGAAAACGTTGATTACTGAAAAATGCTATAGACTTCTTTTTCCTTAAAGTTACATTTCGTATAAATAGCATAAAATAAAGAAAAATAACACTGATTACGGTGAATTGGAACATGGAAAAATACCTTCCTATGATTTTAGTTTTCAATTTAAAAGCAATATTATCCACTGCTTGCTATTTTTTGTTGAAAATCGTCATTTTTTAATAATCTCATCTGATCTGATTTCGCAACGCGTAGTTAAAATTTGAAAAAAAATACAATTCCTAACACAATGCAATTTAAGAATAATTCTTAAATCGACCATTCTCTTCATACTGTAAATAATTTTCTGCAGTATTCTTTTTTAAAATAGATGATTCAGTGTGATGTCTTTATCTTTAAGAAAGACAAAACAAAGCTAATTTGTTGCTCAAGAATATTGTACATGAAGGATATGGAAATAACGAACAGTATTCAATCTCAACGTCCATTAAACAAATATACAAAATAAGAGCAGAGCAAACACGGACCTCCAGAACATCAGAGGTGGGATCAGGTGCCATGGAGGAGTGAGCATCCCCTGCCGACCGGTCACACCCGCCGTGTGCTCGTTGTCATAATCAGGAAATAACGGAAAAAATCCGTGGTCAATTCACTGTATAAATAATGGACTAACAATTGGTATGAAAAACGTCAGTCAGCATTTCATTCAATGATAAATTGTATTTGCTGACAAGGTCATTGTATCGACCATAGAATTTACGAAATGATGACTTTAAACGAGACTGTTGATATTCTTGTTTCATCAACTTGCTTGTCAATAATTTACCTCGTTTAAGAAATTGTTCATACGTAGAGCATGCTCTTGCGTATCGAATCAACTGAGATATAAATACTCCGTATGCAGGTGATGAAGGTATATTGCTGCATAAGTAAGGGAAGTTGACGATAGAAAAGTTAAAGTCATCACGTTTATCATATAGCTTGGTTGTTAGATTACCATTAGTGTCTTTTTCAAGTAAAATATCCAAGTATGAAGCAGAAGTGTCGGACTCTGTGGTATCTTTTATTTCAAGCTCACCAGGATATATCGTGTCGACGTAGGAATGGAAATTATCATTATTAATTGACAATACGTCGTCGATATATCTAAATGTCGAGTTGAAGGCCACAGCAAGTGTTTTCTTCTTTTCACGTAAAAGATTTTGCATAAATTCTGCTTCATATGAATATAAAAATAAGTCTGCTAATAACGGAGCGCAATTTGTACCCATGGGAATTCCAATAGATTGTTGGAATACCTGGTCTCCAAAAACCACATAGATATTGTCAATCAGAAACTCAAGCATCTTCTTGATGTCAACTTCAGAGTACTTATGTGTGCAATCAGAATCTGTTTTAACAAAATAATTTTTCAAATGACCAATGACAAGGTAAGTAAACTTACGAGTTCCATTTTTGTTGAAGAAGCAGCTGTCAATGATATCAAAAAGCCTGGATTTTAATTTGTCGTGGGGAATTGTTGTGTATAAAGTTGAAAAGTCGTAAGTTTTTATGCTGTTGATTTTTGTAAAGTCTTTTGATTTCAAATTGTCCGAAAGTTCTTTAGAAGTTTTAAGTATCCACATCTGATTTACACCACTTCTTGAATATATAGTTGTACAGTACTCTTGAAGTTTTTCCTTCACTACTGTCAATAGTTTAGTGAGAAGTAACGAAAGGTTTTGTGTTATGCAACAACATTGTGTATACGTGTAGCATTTCATATTTTCCCTAGAAGTCTTTGAGAACATTATCTAACACAATGACATATTTTAATTTTATCAATAAGATATAATAAAACAATCTATTGGAGTTCCCATGGGTACCAATTGCGAGCCGCAGACCTATTTTTAAATTCATATTAAGAAGAATTTGTGCAAAACCATATGCGAGAAAAGAAGTAAAATAATAATGTCAAATAATGATGGTAATTTCCATTCTTATGTCAATACGATATTTCCCGGTGAGCTTGAGGATCTAAACAATACCACAGAGTCTAACACACCTGTTTCATATTTGGGTATTTTAGTTAAAAACGTTAATGGTAATCTATCAGCCAAGCTCCATGATAAACGTCATTATTTTTTCTACTGTCAACTTCTCATTCATGTAGAAATTCTTCACCTGCATACGGAGTTATATATCTCAGTTCATTCGATATGCACGAGCGTAAAATGATGACTAACTCTTTTAATACTCATTGTAATTCCATCATTTTTACACTGAACTGACAACGATTTGATTCGTTATTTCCCGATCATAACAAGAAGCAATTGTGACAGGTAGGCAGGAAATGCTCACTACCTCGTTGAACTTGGTGCCACAACTGATGTATTGGAGGTCCCAGTGTTTTCTCTCTGCTCCTATTTTGAATTGTTATACTGACTTTTGATCTGGAACACTGTTCGTTATATCTAAGTGTTTTATTTACTAATTTAAATACTAGTGAGTGAAATGCAAATCTACATCTTACGCATCCCTTTACGTATACATTTAGACCCAGAACATTCAGTGAGATAAAACACATATTTGATAATAAAGTTTAGACTAGATTTCTATTTAGCTTGACTTTTTGCACGGTTGGGAAAACAGAGCGCGAAACTTTTCCTCGTCTGTGCAAAGTGCATGTATATGTTTTAATCAAGACACTTTCAAAATAATCCTAACATTTATCCATAATGTTTATCAAAATCATTGTTTAAGCAGACATCATTTTTGTATATGTATGACCAATAGAGACAAAACTGTAATTTCTCTTACTCAATTAGGTTTCATTTTTTTCACTTGATGTTTACATTCAATCTTAGTATAGTTTTTTTCATTTAAAATATCTGTGAAGTTCTTGAAGAAGATGAATTTGTGATGGACACGCATTATACACTTGATTCATCCTAATTGTTCTTTTGCTATGAATACGATTTGTTAAAAAAAAAATCGTCTTAATGAGACGTAAGAGCAAATTGATGTTACATTCAGTTTCTCAATTGATCATGTGGACCATCTTTTCTCATCTATTGTCGAATGATCGGAAATGTTTCCAGGAGTATCTCAGAATGGGAGATCATCCCAACTGAAGTTCTGGGAGGTTTATTCGGGAATTCCCTATTGAGCAATCAAGGACTTTCTTACAATATTATCAACCAATCAATTTGAGTTTTTAGATGTATTTCTCGCGTTGTACATGTAAGTGTAATCATGTTTTTATCATTGTTTTCCCAATCCAATCTAGTTAAATTCCATATCATGTTTATGTCATCCAATGGATAAGGATAAGGAGCAGAAGAACAAATCAATATAACGATTTTTTTTAATAAATCAGAGAGAGAGGGAGAGAGAGAGAGAGAGATTCTAAATTTGAACAGGAATTCAGTAAATTTGATATACAATATAACCTGCAGTGCACCAATGTATATTTTCCAGTTTGGGGTGACGTTTTCGTCACGTGACGATGGAACACAACAAGATTGAGTGGATCAGGAACCCCGTGGTCTGGCCATCTTGTGTAATGGAACATCAACACCTCACGGTCTTTTCGTTCCTTCAATCAAGAAATGAGAATGTTATTTTGTTTTCTTGTCGCTGGTTCATTTGCGTGGATCATGATTGCTTTCTTTTTGTCATTGCATACAAATGGTATCTTTAATCTAATTCAGTTTGCTAGCTTTATATACATTGATAAGCTTTGATAAAATGATTTTAAAAACGTTTTTTATGTATATATTTAAAAATGCAATTCAAAAGCGACAATTAATATAAAGAAAACTTAAAAGACTGTAAATGTCATTTAAAGAAAATATGTATCCCTTAACAATCCAAGTATTTGGACGTTTTTTTCCTTTTCTCTCAGTCGGTGATATTCAATTATAAATTATTCTATTTTTTTTAAAATCCTTGATAGATGTGTATTACAGTTTTTTTCAGATTTCATTAAAAAACAGGTTTTTGTCTGTCACTTTTTGGTAGGGAAAGTCAGGGATTTGTTGTATTATTAAAAAAAAAACAAGTATATACAACCAGAACAGAACAGATACGGTATGTCATATTTTACTATTATTTTCATTGAGATTGAAAAAGGTCTTTTAAAAAGAAAAGGGTCGGCTTCAGGTAGTATACATCTGACAGTTCATTATCAAAAACTTTTATCCAGAATTTTAGTATCAGAAATATTTCTTAACACTTCAAGCTCTTCGTGTTTCTTAGCCATGGTTGATTGTTTGAAAATAGAATGATTTAGCTAACTAGATACTGTCATGTTTGTCATTCTTAGATCAGGGAAATGTGTTCTTGAAATGTTATTTCACTTTTTTGTGACATTGAACAACATTCATGTTGTCCCAAATTAATATTGTTTGAATGTGTTTTTTTTTAAATCATATTTAAGAGTGATGTCATAATGAGTATGACGTAACAGTTCTTTTTTTAAAGAGGGGTTACTCAAAAAGTAAAGATTTTTATGATATCTTTTAATTAAAAATTAGAAAAAATGAAGACGTTTACTTCAATGCATATCCTAAAAAATGATGTTGATTCTTTATTTTTTGCAATTACTTATTATCGCGAATGGGCTCTTCAACTTGCAAATCGCGAGAATGATTAATTGTGAATGGACGGTTGATCAAGAGATTTTACATAGATTTCAGCACCATAAAAATAAAGGCTAGTAATTTTATTTCGCGTGTTGCGCTTCTTGCGAAATCACGATATAATTCATTTCACGCGTTTATATTGGAATCTAAAAGTAGTACTGTTATGTAAGGTCTTTTTAACTTAAAATAAACACATTTCTATTTAAATCTCTTACGCGTTGCATACAGCTGTATTTAGCCTATATAAAGAAGGGATTCATTTTTCAAAACACACATACATGTATTTTATAAAGTATTTTAACAATATGTTTCGTAATTGAAAGTTTCATTATTCTCAAATGACATGTTAATCAACATAAGTCAATCAAACAATCAATCATACAATTAAGCATTCAATTTAGAGGTTTAATGCTTGTATTTATTGTGCTTTCAAGGTTCAATCACTTGTAGTGCTGAATAAAGATTAAATATTGAAAAATATGCTAGACTAGCTGCTTAAAATCCTAAATATTGGTCAATTCTATGAGTTTATAGATTTAGATACCCCTAGCTGCTCCGACGTAGAAGTCAGAAAAAATTAATAAATAAAGTCAATAATTTAACTTTTTGCATCCTTAGGATCTTCCATACATGTGCCTAAAATTACGACTGCATTAAACAAACGTTAAATTCACCTTTTGGAACTGATATGTATCATTTATTAAAAGCAAATAAAATATAAGCATTGTTTTATTATCTATAGTTGTCTTATTGGAATCGCTAATATTTTTGGAGAAAAAAATGTATGCATACACTGATCGATTAACATTTCATCAAATAAAAAATAAAATGGAGCATGCGCATTTATTGTAAAATGGCATCTTCCCTTCCAAATGGAGTATATAAGACCTGTGCCCGCGTGGATATCATTTTTGGACCGGTCTTTTACGGCGTAATGTCGATAATTCAATTAATCGCTTTCTTATATTCTTATTGTGCTAAAGTCATCGCAACAAGTTATATAAACATAACGGATTTTGGGAAAAAGTGGAAATTTGTCTTGATGCATTTCTCAACGTTATAATAGGTACAATGAAATCCAATTAAAAATCTACGGATATTATAAACAATCTTTATGGAGGACTTACATTGTTCAAAGATTGAAAATATTCCAGATAAGTATCTTGATTCTAGTTTTGCTCGAGAAAGATCATACTTTTTTTTTATTTTATCTCCTTGCTTTAAACATAAAATGTCATCCAAATTTCTTCTTTTGTGTGTGTGTTCCTTATAATCAGAATATTTGTATTTCGAAATGAACTTTGATATTATTTTTAGATGTTCATGGTGTGTTACAGCAAAAGTAGTACTTTTGACCTGGCCAGGAATGATACTGTTTCACAGACCTGTTTATAAGGATGCATTAGCTACATTTTCAGTAAAAATCAGTTCCTCGATGAAAGAAATTCAGAAATACACTGCTTATATGGCTCACAATATTGTACAAAGTACATTTATATTTGATCGAACCATTTGTATGTATTTTTGTGTGTGTTTTTTTTTGTTTGTTTGTATTTTTCTAGGGGGGGCCATTTTATTTGATTATACTTCGAGACTATTTTTTGAATTAACACAAAAATATATATAGCACAGCAATGAATAAAAGCACAAGTTGTTTTACAAAACACTTAAACCCCAAATGTTTGATTTTTTGGAAGATTGAAATTTCAAAATAAAAGTCAAACTCCAATGTCAAGGGATAAGAAAGGGATACTCAAAAAAAGGACATGTTCTCAATAATATTTCATGCCCCCACTTCATAATTTAAATTGGTTATTGGCTATCATGATACACGACTCCTTCTTACCATGTTGTTGTACACTTTAAATCGTCTTGATGTGTAATTGGCGTATACCTTTTCTCCAAGATTTCTGATTATAAAATTACCATGCTGCATTTTGTCGTTAAGATTTGGCCAATATTGAGTACATTTAATCTACAAAATAATAATATTATACATGTACTTAACTACAACCATTTCCCTTAAACTACCATGGAAAAATGACGATGACTCTGAATCAAAGAGTATATTGATGCTGTAAAAATAAATTATGAGGTAAATTGTAGCTAAACATAAATCAAAATCATTCCTACTACACATATGCATAGTTGTTTTTCAATTATGTTTAAAATGATGGATAAGTTGTTACCAAAACTTTACTTCAAGGATGTGATATGAGAAATACATATCACTTAAATTTACATGTTGTTTTCTTTGACTACATTTCTATATTGCGTGTATGATTTTTTTTCTTTGTAAAAGATTCCTCCTTATCTTTTTTGAATGAATTCTCCATTGACAGTTTTCTTGTTAAAACGCATT